TTTATTTTGTTTTTCCAATGTAGACATTTTACATCCCAAATTACACTGTCAAAAACATAAGGCTACCGGACACGTAATCGTAAGATTGCGGGTTCAGGGGTATGAGCCTCAGGGAAAGACGCTTTACACGAATTTCACCGTTGGCTTGGTCCTTTCGGAGATAGATTGTAAAATAGGTGGTCCCGCCCCTTAAATAACCCAACAATGTTGATAGGGGCGGAGCGTTTAATCTATAATATCATTTCACCTTTTAACTGTGAAGAACAATTTGGAGGCAGGCTCCCAACCCCTCCTGTCAGGGCCAACACAGGCTGAGACGAGTGCAACGCCCCAGCAGAAGGTCGAGCTGCTCGATAAAGATTCTCCGCACGTGAGAATCGAACTTGAGTATTTGCATGCAATGGCGAAGTGCCTTACCACCACACAACAGACGCTGGGCAGGTTAGCCTTCTCCTATATTTCTGAAACAGACTAGGGACGAGAAGAATTTGATGAAAAGTTCACTGTAAATGTTATACAACCCCACAGACGCAGTTGAGATAATTTCGGAAGTAGGCTGCTTTTAATCCTCCAAAACGAGCTAAGTGGAATTCAGCGTCCTAGCATACAGTAGAGAGACACTCGATTAAAGAAATGAAGAAGAAAATTTGCCCTCCCGTATGGAAATTGATTTCAGTTCTTCAAGTCATAATGGCGAAATGCTTGACCGTTACAATACAAAAGCTCTGTATACTCGAATAATAAACGAAATAATGACAACAGTAATAGATAGATAACGTAAATCTTGATTGTCCATTTACTTGGAACATCGGTCTAATGTTTCACCGCGCACACACACAAACACACACAAACACACACACACACACACACACACACACACACACACACACACACACACACACACACACACACACACGCGCGCGCGCGAACACACATACACATACATTCTCAAACATACTTTCTCGCACATCCACGCTCTACGGCATTCTCTATGCGCTGTAGATCTATTATTACCTCAGCAGACCCTAGAACACCCAGAAACTTCTCAGCTTTCAGTGCGAGCTGCCGATTGCACACGCTCCAACACTACCAAACTGACAAGATGTTTCACTGTCTGTAGCCGGGTATCCATTCCCATGTGGGTGAATAAAAAATTGATGAAAATTCGTGTAAAGTGCCTTTCCAGAGGACACTACGTCAGGTCCCTGACGGGATTCGAACCCACGACCATACGGTTGCGAGTCCGAAAGTCTTACCACTTGGCCACCGACGCCACTTTCGTAAACAATACTAAGCTTATGACTAGACAAAAAATTATGGTATACCACATCATTGGTCTTATGTCCGAAAATTATACTGATATATCTCTGTTTTATTTATTGGTTAGGCTCTTCCTTGTCGCACTCAAAAGACATAATAGTTGGGGTGTTGACGGTGATGATGAGGATGATGATGAGGTTGATGATGATGATGATGATGATGATGATGATGATGATGATGATGATGATGATGATGATGATGGTGATGGTGATGCTGATGCTGATGGTTGATGGTGAGGAGGAGGAAGAGGAGGAGGAGGAGGAGGGGGGGGGAGAAAAGAAGAAGAAGAAGAAGAAGAAGAAGAAGAAGAAGAAGAAGAAGAAGAAGAA